GGAAGAAACAAGAAAAACAACACCAAATGAATGCAACTGTCTTCTGTTTAATGTATTTTCAAAATTAAATTGATTGCACTATTGTAATATACTAAAAACTAACTAGTGTTTAAAAAGTAAGATTGCTCGATTTTGACTCAATAAGTATGCATCCTACTGCTTAGGGCAATATATTGAAGATATAAAACTTTATGTGTTATTCCACTTTAATATTCTATCGTTTTTCAATGGATATCAATATATATATCATTAGTTATACAATGTATTTTTTTACGCACATAACACCTCGCTGAATTTAAGGTTTCTTCAAAAGGAAATTATGATTTCAACTCTACTTTGTGACCTAGTAACCTAAACCGCATATATATATATATATATATATAAGGGTATACAAATTCACAGATTGCTGTCAGTCATTTACATTACGGAAAGTCCCTTGCGAATTGAGCATAAAAAAAATCATGTTTCGTTTTTTCGCTTTAAATAAACTCTAGCCCACTATTGAAGAGTTTCTAAATATATAATGGTTTTTTGTATTGTTACAAATGAGAGCGTATGTGCCTCTTAACTTTTATTTGCAACAATTGAGGTGAAATTTCGAAGAAACAAACACATCACAGTTACGCTAATATATAAATAATGTTATACAATCGCTGTAATCGATCACTTAAAGAAAAAAAGGTGATATAACGATAGAATCAACAAAACTTGCCGCATAAAGCAACAAAATATTTGGGAGTTTACACCAAATGGAAGCGACTTCCAACCATAAAAAGAAACTACATTAAAAAAATAAATCACTAGCGTATTGAAGTTAAGATAACACACTGATTAACACTTTATTGTTGAATAAGGTGGGATAGCTTACACTAAATGGAGTACGGTCATGTTAAGTCGTTTAACCTAGATACTGAATGTTAATATGACTGAATGAATGCAACCATCAAAAAGGATTAAACAAATATGGCAAATAGTCACTAATATGTTAGTTACGTAAGAATTAACAGACAAATGTTGAGTATGTGTAAAAACAAAAAAGTGGATAAAATCATAAAATTGTTTGAGCATTTTTTTTGTAGTAAAGGGTTAAATCATAGTTCAGCTAAAAACCGACTCCAGTACCGAAAGCAAAAGCAAGGTTAGAAAACATGAATTCCGTTAGATTCCGAAATGTGCAACAGACAAACTTATAAACCATGAGCTAAATTTTTTGGAATATGGTGAATAAACTTAAAACCTTTATTCAAGCCAGCTTGATGACCTGTGTTCACAAAGTAAGCGAGAATAGAACTTTTATTAACTCTCACCTATCCTTTGCTTAACCAAGATGGATGGTATTCTGCTATGCGATGACGGACATGCAGAAATGTACCCCCTATATAACTGGCTCCACAGGAACAGTTAAATTGATAAATATATATATGCATGTAACAAAATCAGTCTTTATTAATGATTTTTATTATTGAGCGATTGTGGAAAACCTCATTCTATCCGGCTGCAATAAATGTTTTTTTACACCGCCTTACTTAACCTTGGAGCTAAGAATTTTTTCCGTAGCATCACTTAAGAATTGTAATTTCATAAACAGTAATTTATTTGAAAAAGTAGGCACATTTGGACTTCAGATGGTGGTTAGAGGTAGTCGACACGAAACCATGGACCCGGGTTTCGTGCTGCTCGGCACTCGTCAACAACGTGTACCTGTAATCTTGAGGGAACTGGCGGTTCCTGGCGGATTCGATCTCGTGTCACCCAGCTTCACAGTCAGGGTAGTTACCACTGAGCTATCCGAGCCTCGACCGATCTCCTGTAGGACTGAGATGTAATCACAATTGATTGATCACTGGGTGGCGATCAATGTCATGCGTGTCTAATCCTTATTAGTGCAGATCGAATGCTATCGATCATGTTGCAATATGGCCACCAGTGCAGGTGACTCACACACACATTTGGACTTCATTTCATTTCATTCATGTGTTTGTTGGTAAATTTCATTAGATATCCATTCCTACTAAGCAGGTTATGAATACAAATCAATTCATCTACATTCGTGTTATCAGAGATAGTCATTTCAGCTCTATGGGTCAAGATCTTTATTAAGTTTTTTTTTATATCTAATTGGTAAAACACTATAAAAATGAATGTATTGTCCAACTGCAGACTTTCTATGTATTTCTCTTATTAGTGTTCCATCTATTATTTTTGTCAGTTGCACATCTACAAATGATATGCCATTATTCTGTTGAATTAATGTTATTAAATATATTCAGTAAATTATTATTTTCATATTTTTTTCTAATAACATAAATGCATCATCTATATAGCGACGGTACGATGTTAGATGTTGGACCTGGAAAGCATACTATCAAATCTATAAAAAGAATAATAATGTAATAATCAATTACATAACAGTACTTGATAAATTTACAAATGAGATGTTAATGATACTCTGATAGTGATAAAATTATGTTGTGCACACTATAAGAGAATAATTAACAAGGAAAGAGGTTGGAAGTTATGGTTTTGAATATTCTGAAGTTACAAACATGATAGAAGAAGAGGTGAAATACAATTCGAACTTCTCAGTAAATCTGGCAACATTTTCAGTAATTCAAGGAAGAGTATAACACATTATCTTTGTTTTATGGAGTGACTTTTGTTCAAAGAGTATTTTATTAGTAAACTAATTTGTAAATTTATTGTTGCCTTTTCTCAGTCATTCAAATCATTGTGTGTTTACGAAACCTCTTAAATACATGGCATAATGAATGACGATAGAAATAAATGAATTAGACAGACAAGTGAGCAAATACACATCAATATACTATATAGAGACATGATGGAACATTATTGTAAAAAATAGAGATTGTTCAGCTTAGGGAATAAATTGAATGAATATAGATCTATTAACTAGAGATCTATTTTATATCAGTATGGAGATTTGTGAAGATTGTAGTACTTTAATACTTGAATTCACGAGTCAATTTAAGCTGAATCACCATTAAAAACCTGGAAGCACACGATGGCTGTCTGGTCCTGTTATGGGACCCCCTAACAGTGCTTGCCTACAAATCCTCATTCTGATAGCAATGTGCTCATTAGTGAACAACTTGAAGATGAAGTTTCTTAAGTTCTAGTGAGAAGTAGTGACCAGTGGAGTACAATCTGTGTCGAGTGTAAGACAGTTATCCAATTCAGTTTATAGGTCAAGGTTTATGCAAGATCACGAATCAATTGAAGGTAAACATCAGCACCGTTGGATGCCAGCTCAGGGGTCTTGAGTCAAAGCTGTCGCGCGCGAGACCAAAGGCCCCAGGTTGCATTGTTGCGTGCATTATTTAGTGTACAGTTTTATTCATTAAAATATTAACTGAAAAATCTAGAGTAACATTAAACTGTTGCAGTTATTTATGAAACTTAGAAATAAGTTCCATGTTTTTACATTTTGAAGTGATGAAGTTTTATTACGGATAAGAATTCACAAATGAATGGTAAATATCTGTCCAGTGCTTCTTAGTTTATAATGGTGATAGTCGTGCTTAGTTCTTAATTAACATTTAATCATGAAATGTTTGTGTCAAACATCACTATTGATTATGAATACAGTAATTATGATGCTGTGATATCTCAGAGAATTTAAGTGGTTACTTACATGAACTTGAAAGTTTCATATCAATAGTTGAGATCATGAGTCAATTGAAACTAGACTACCATGGAAAACCTGGAAGCACTGGACAGTTGTTTCGTCCTATTTTGGGACTCCTCATCAGTACTCATCGACGACCCCGCCCTCCGCGAGATTCGAACCCAGAACCTATTGGTCTCGCGTGCGAGCACTTAACCACTAGACCACTGATCCAGCATGCCACGCCATTGATGTTTAACTTCAACTAATCCAGTTAGCATACAGATAAGCTGGATCAAAATTTCATAATTCGAAATTGTGAAGAAGCTAAATTGCTTAAATAAATTAATTATAACAGTTGAATTCATGGGTCAATCTAAGCTAAACTACCATGGAAAACGTGGAAGCACTGGACGGCTGATTCGTTCTAGTGCTTCCAGGTTTTTTAATGGTAGTCTAGCTTAAATCAACTCATGAATTGTACTGTTAAAATCACTACAATCTCGACAAATGTTCATTCTGATAGTAAATTAATTGATAATTTTTTGTAGATTTGATAAGGTTTGAACAGAGTTTTTAAATTATTTAGTGATAAATTGGCATTTAATATTCCCTCACTTTTCTTGTTTTCCATAACAGAAAATTTACGAAGATACTCTAAAAATGTTCAGAAGCCTAGAACATATTACTTGTCAGATGATTATTGACTATTCCACTAAATCATCAACAAATGAAATTCATTAGCTTAACATATAGTTAATGTTTCGTTTGTTGATTTTTTTTCAAAATAAAGTTAGATCAACTAAGAGATCACCATTACCAAGACTAACATAAGCCACCTAACACCCATATCCTTTACAAATTGAAACAAACTATATACAGAATGAAATGAACAAACTGATATCTTTATATAACCATTTCACTTTTCAAAATAACACTTAAAATAACTTTTCAATTATTCATTTCGTATTTTAACTTAAGAACATATTGAAACACTTGACAAAATATTTCTAAGCATTCATAAAAAAAGTACACAGCACTTAAATATTAATTTCACTGGTTGGAATCATGAGTCAATTAAAGTTAGACCACCATGGAAAACATTGAAGCACTGGACGGCCGTTTCGTCCTAATATGGAACTCCTCAACAGTGCGCATCCACAATCCCGCCCCCGCGAGATTCAAACCCAGGACTTATCAGTTTCGCGCCAAGCGCCTAACCAACTACACCACTGAGCCGGCATCCAACAGTGTTAATGTCTAACTTCAACTTAACTAGTAATTAGCTACATTAAATTTTTTTGTTTTCAATACATCAATTAAGTTCATTGAATTAAAAAATATTTCCATTTATGATTGATTACATAACACTTACCTATTTATATATATTCCACTTTGTTGATAAATAAAACATGAGTTTTTGATGTGTGTTTTTTTAATTGTTGTTTTTTTAGAAATTTCACAATCGGTATTAGAATATAAATAATAATTTTTGCCAGGAAACTAACAAAGAAAATAGGAAACTAATTGTTGAATAGATTCAATATTATGTGTAGACATATATATATTCCTTATAAATATTGTTTATTCACATTAGTATGATTCTAGTTTTCATTGAATTCATTAATCATTCTTTTTTCTTCTTTCTTTTCTTCTCTTTTTTCTTTTCTTTTTGTTTTTCTTTTATTATTATTTTTGTTTTAAGTAATTCAATTCACATTTTAAATAAATGAAATAAACAAGGTGCATTCAATCAATGTAGATATAGAATCATAATGATTATTATATAAATTTCTTAATAAGTTAATAAATTAATAATCGGTGCAATCATTCAATAGTTTACTCTTCTTTTTTTCTGATTGGTTAAATTATGAACCAATCATCTTTTAATAAATAAATTTAATAAATATTGTAATAGATGCATAAATCAATGTGAATTATGATTAGAAAATTAAAAGGAATGATTGGTTATTGAAACAAAAAAATGAATAAAAATTTTAAAAAAAAATTTGAAGTTCTCGATATTGAGATGGTAGTAAACAATGACAAGTTTAAAGTTAACAAGAACCAATTAATATCGAATTCCTCAGGACAAGCTGTAAACCACATGTAGAGAAATTCAAGCACTTCACTTCTACCGGAAGTTTATATGTTGATGATGTCGTTTCGAAGAGCGTTGAAAGCTTCACGACCATATCACCTAGCTCAGAGAACAAAACTCCGTCAAAAATAATCCCGATATTTCACAAGTATTATTAGATAACGTCTTCGATTGAATATTAGTGGGATTCAAAATAGAGTTGTACAACGGGAATCTGTGATGGTTTTAATTTTCCCATTACTAGTCATTGTTGAACATTGTCTACAGGAAAACGCCATTAAGTTTTAAGACTTTTTAGTATGAGTTTGAAAGTAAATTATTTTTTTTCATTCACCAACATAATTCAGAATCTAACGCACAAAAGAAGTTCAACATAAAATAACAAGTTAGACTAACCTTGCATTTTTTCTTCTAGTTTAACAGTAAAGAAATCTATGAATACATTATTTTGACTGAAAAATATCTTCTACTATGCTATCAACTTTATTGATATTTGATAATGTTTTCGTTCTATTTATCAATATATTTACCAAAAATACTCTAGAGAAAAATTATCTATGAAAAGAATAGTTGTTCTTCATATTGGCTTTACACTCGACTTAGTTTATACATTGTCTTTTCATTCATCAGCACAATTATTCTTCTTAAATCAACATAAATCTCCCGTTAATAAATGGGATACATATATTTCATTGGAAAAAATCCAAATCAATCAGAAACTACACAATGTTTCCTATTGTCATATTAAAAAGATACTTATGATACGTTTAGCAAGAAATGAAACAAATAATCGCTGAATTATAATATAGTGATAACTCGTCTAAAGATAGAAAAATATGTTATTACTCATATCTTGTTAACAGTGGTTGTTTGTGACTGCATTGGTTAAAATGAAGTAATGATAACAATAGAACGTCTAACACGAAGTGTACAAGTGGATAAGAAACAATTGGTGAACCATTTTTACACATCCTTGGTGTAAAGCAGATGATGTAAATGCAATAACTAAAAATTAATCGATAAAATGTATTACATCTAGTAAATAGGAGAATTGTTCAATCACATATATGTGAAAATATAGTCACTACTAAAGAAAATACATGAATAACTCTATCGAAATAAGTGAAAACTGAGTTTTTAAATGAAACATAAACAGTAATAAATAAAATATTTCACAATTGGTTGATCACTAGGTGGCGATCAATCTCATGCGTGTCTAGTCCTTATTAGTGCAGATCGAATGCTATCGATCACGTTGCAATGTGGTCACCAGTCTGGGTGACTCGACACTGTGGTCACTACCTCCAACTACCATCTAATCTCAATATATAGTGCCCGCAGTGTTGAGTCACTCAGACTGGTGACCACATTGCAACGTGATCGATAGCATTCGATGTGCACTAATAATTACTAGACACGCATGACATTGATCGCCATCTAGTGATTAATCAATTGTGATTACATCTCAGTCCTACAGGAGATCGGTCGAGGCTCGGATAGCTCAGTGGTAACGTCTGTGACTGTGAAGCTGAGTGACACGAGATCGAATCCGCCAGGGAGCATTAGTTCCCTCAAGATTACAGGTACACGTTGTTGACGAGTGCCGAGTAGCACGAAACCCTGGTCCATGGTTTCCTGTGGACTACCTCCAACCACCCTCTTAAATAAAATATTTCCATACAGAAAAAGAGGAGTCAAGCCAACAATCATGGTCTTTAGGTCTAGAACATATTTTCAGTGCTTTTATTACTTCCTTGGTCTTAAAAATTCTTATCAATCAATCTTATAATACTTTGTACCCGTTGTTTGTTTCTGTTTGCCTCTTTCGTATCTCTTCATATATATATATATATTTGTCGTTACGCAACTGTTTCATGAATATTATTTTAAGGAGCTTTTTTTTGTTTTGGTTTTTTTGATATTTTTCTTTTGTCGAAATGATGATTCGATATTGTCACGCTATTCCTGGTTCTTATAATTACTACCATATTTGTTATTGTATTGCTTTTTCTTACTTATTTCCATTAGTTATATAAACTGTAAAGTTCTTTTCATGGACAAATAAATTCCTTTCGTTGGTTTAATACATTTAATGTATACAAATGTATATGAAAGTATAGACTAATGAAAATGTAATTGAAATAACTTATACCAAGTTATATATTTTGTTTTAAATTACACTATGGAAATCTTGAATGTTTCAAACTAGAGGTTTTTATTTAAAGAATTAAAAACAATTGAATGTAATATTGATCGATATAGGACATCAAATGGTGATACATCCATAAATCACAGAGAACCTGACTATTGATTTCATTTAATTTTTGTAATTATTCACTAATGTTAATCAATAGAACCATAAAGAAATCAACCGTAAACGTTTGAGTTCTTATGATGAATACTATATGTTACAGTTAAAATATTTTTACTAAATAGAACTTCAATTAATCTTTCATGCTTCACAAGCTTGTGTCAGTTGTGATAACATTTTTATATATCGGAATAATATTAATAAAGTAATCCGAGTGTTATATTGTTTTCGAACATACACAGAAAGTTGTAAATATACAATGTTCCATTAGTCAGGAGTTGTTAAGCATTTCGAATTGAACTCTAGCCATCTAACTGAATGGTAAATTGATCGCTTTACAAATAAAAATTTCTTAATCTAGTTGTTTTTATTTTATCATGATTTTCGACTCTCTGTGCAGTATCTGATATAGTTTAATTTCTATTTTTTGTTAGATCTTAACGAACAATGTTTCATGTTCGATTTTGTCATAAATATATATGTATGTATTATATGCATTATGGTGCGGAAACCTGGAGAATTACGAAAGCCATCATCTAGAAGATACAAGTGTTTGTTAACAGTTGTTTACGCAAAATACTTCGGATCTGTTGGCCAGACACTATCAGCAACAACCTACTGTGGAAGAGAATAAACCAGATCCTAGTGGAGGAAGAAATTAGGAAGACGTGTTGGAAGTGGATAGGACACACATTGATGAAAGCATACAACTGCGTCGCAAGGCACGCTTTCATATGGAGTCCTCAAGGCCAAAGGAGAAGGAAAGGAAGACAAAAGAACACATTTTGTCGAGAAATCGAGACAGATATGAGAGGAATCAACAAGGATTGGATAGAACTAGAAATGAATGTTCCTGACACAGTGGGTTGGAGAATTCTGATCGATGGCCTATGCACCATTGGGAGTAACAGGCGTAAGTAAGTAAGTAATATCTATGCATATTTCTTGTCCCCGAATATTAACACTCCCCTCAAATAACAAAGACAATAGATAAATATCAATAGGTAAATTGTATTCATTAGCATAATGGAAATATGTAGTTATGTTTCACCTAACCATAAAACATTTGTTATGAGAAAAAGAATCTTTTTTTTTCTGATTTCACATTACAATAATTCCATGCGATTAAATATTACTACTGTTACTAAGTTACTAAAATTAGTAAGACACAAATACACTTTTTCCTTGACAAAAAAATATTTCACATTTTCATGTGTGAAAGAAAAAAAGAAACCAACGAACATTTTTTGTTTCTAATCAAGAAAATTTTTACCAGGTGTAAAATAGTGAATGGATGAATTTTTCTTCTATAACACAAACACACACACACATCTACAAAAAAAATAATAAAATCAAAGAATAATTCGTCAATAATACGAAAAACGTACAATTAAATGATCAATTCTTTCTTTTTTTTTCTTTTTCTTCTTCTTCTTTTTCTTCGTTTTTCTTCTCGATTTCTTACAACATCAAAAAAATAAAAAAAATATGATCAAGTTTAATCACATACAAAAAAAAGAAAAAAAAGAAAATAATTAACTGACTAAGATACATAATCAAAATGAGCCGACTTAAGTTTTCTTCTTTTAATTTTAATGATACATTTAAATCAATTATAACAGATGTTTGTTTCGACGCCAAACAACAACAGAAACAACAACAACAAAAACAAAAACAAAAACAAACAAACGAGCGAACAAAACGGTAACAACAACAAAACTAAAACAAAATGAAAATAAATATTCATTCATTTAGTGTTTATAGATAAAATAAACAAAATTTATCAGACAAATAATTTTTTTTTTTGCTGGATTGTGAACCATGTTAATGATTGATTTGCACGAATTGGTGAATAGAATATTGATTTCTTTTTATTACATTTTATGTTGAATCAATAATATGGATATAGATTTATAGATTTATGTTTGTTTATAAGGAAGGAACAAATCGAGCGAAGAAATTTCTTTTCGACTAGTTTTTCATCATGGCTTTACACTTTAAATATATTTGAAGTATTCCCATAATGTAAATATAGAACAACATGTATAAGCGAACAATATTGTTTTCGATTAGATCCTCATCAGGATTTACTCTAATATACAGTAATATTTATATGTATATACGTAATTATTAAACTAATCAAGACAGTTTATGAGACAATGATAACAGTAGAATAGATTACATAATTAAGTGAAAAGTACAAATTGGTAGTGTGATGACAGGTTTACTAGTTGTGAGAGAAATAATAAAGGGTTGAATCAATCCTACATAATGAGAAATAGGTTAGTAATTAGAAAAATATAGAAATTGAAATAACATTCATAAAAAGTATAAGAAGTGTTCAGATAATTGGACCATGAAATGTATATTTGACGGAAAGGGTGGGAGGGGTGAAGGAAAACAAACGAAGAAAGAGTATGGAA